GCTGCAGAGGGCAGCGCAGGGAAACACCCCACCCCGGAAATCCCTGGCCACTGGAGGAGATGTTTAAGGTGGATCAGGAAGCTGACGCCGGGGCCAGGTGTCTTTCCCCGCCACCTACCTGCCTTTCTACCTGCCTGTGGCCGGCCCCGGTTGCCCTCGCCTCCACTCAGGGAATTTACCAGGACGAGAGAAGCCGAATCACAGAAAAGGGGCAAAGAAATGTCCCCGCCAACCCTCCAGCCCTGCCACCTTCCTCGGGCAGCCTCCAGCTCCGCTCGCCTGGGCGGCCTGGACGGTTGTGTGCCCTCAGTGGCACCTGATCCATCCCAGCACGGCCCCGGGGGGACAATGTGGGCAAGGGGCTGACCCGGTGACTTTTCTCCTCCATCCCAAGTGCCCGGCAGGGATCCTGGTTTTTTCTAATTTAAAAAAAAAAATCCCCAGTTTTCAGTTTTAAAAAAGTAACCCCAAATCCACATTTTTTTCATGATTAAAATGAAACGTCATTAAAATATCGATCTAGATATAGCGGTGTTTCATTTTAATCGCAGAAGAATGTGGATTTGGGGTTGCTTTCTTTCAACCGAAAATTGCGAATTTTTTTAAATCGGAGAAAACCTGAAGTGCCAGCTCATTTGATGCCAGCGTAATAGGCAGTGCGCTGTAAAGAAGGAAACACAGGGCCATAGTCGCAGGCCCTTCTGCATCCACATGCACCCCTGCCCTACTCTCTCACCCTGCACTCTGCCTTCCACTTGGAGGCAAAAGGAGCTGGAGTGGAAATGGGTGCTAAAAGGAGGAGGAATTGCCATCCCAACCTACTGCACCTGCCTATGGTCTGAAAGAGGGGCAGCCTCTCTGCACAAGGGTGTCTGGCTCCTGGATCATGGTAAGTACTGCTCCTCATTAGCACATGCCTAACTGGGGGGATTGGGAAATGACAGGTAAGGATACAATTTTTATTGATGACTTGTAATATGTCAGTTCCTAGAAGGCTCCCCTGAGATTAGACCCCTCTGGTGGTAGGTGCTGCACAGGCACAGGTCCTGCCCCAAACAAAACAGACCAGACAGAAAAATGTTGGGATAGGAAACAGAAGTTTCCCAAGATCTAATATACCAAGAACACCTGAAATATTAGTGAAGAGGTTCCCAAACTTTTCGTTATTGCATACCCCCTTCCAGATTTACCAGCTGCCAGCATACTACAGTTATATATTTAACCCTTTAAATGCCAATTATTATTGTTATAATAAAAATTAAATCTGACATTACACAAGTTCTCCTGCGTAGCCCCCAGAGATGTCAGGGTATGTGTACCACAGTTTGGGACTCCTGTGTTAATGGCAGAGCTAGGTATTGTACCCAGGTCTCTTGAGTCCTCACCCACAGCCCCATCTATACCATCAAACCATTTTCCCCTAACTCACGGATTTAAAAGGAAAAAAAACATTTATTACTGCAGAATGGTATTTTTGCATATAGCAGCCATTTCCATTTAAAGTATCAAGGCTATGTGTGACAAATAACTATAAACATACATAGACAGTGCAACGTTTAATATCACGGGAAGGAGTCAGATCCTGCCTGAGCCAGTGCTCTTTTTGTTTATAGAGCCTGAATTTCATACAGCCTGAACTTATATGGAGCCCTTCTCTGAAATACCACTTGAATATGGCACTGGGTGATTCCACATTTGGTGCCAATGATTCCCAGATCAAACTCTGACTTTGCAAGTGAGGAGTTGCTTCCGGGTTATTTTCAGTTGCCAGGTATGCAAGGTATGACAGAGGTTTTTTCTGGCTTATAAATCATCACCAGCAATAGGCATCTGTAAACTTAAAACTTCATATGTGTACCTAGGCCAACGTAATCACCTTTATTGGGGTCATCCTGGCTTCATTTTAGATGTGATTTGAAGACAAGAAAGTTGCATACATGGTCTGCCACTCAGTTAACTAATATTCCTCCTTACAGCTATAGTGTAAGAGGTCCAGCTTCCTTTCCCAATGCTGTCCTAAGGCTGTGAGCAGCAAACACTTACTTAATCAGGAGGAATTTCACAGGAAATATCAAGAGTGCAGATCTTTATGAGGAAGCACAAGGGGCATCTCCCCCACCCCCTGCCACCAGTCACAAGGCAGCCTGTATACAATACCAGTCATTTACATGGTAGCGATCATTCACTGAAATGGCTCCTCTTTTTTTATTTATATTTCCCATCAAGTGCCTTTCTGACATTTCTGTTCTATATATTTCTGCAATAGATCATGCCTCAACCCAAGCAAGATTCTGCTTAACTCTCTTTAATACAAATAGGGAGTTCATGTTTCAGAGTGTTGATCTCTCTCCAACACTTACAGCTATCAACGTTCTAAAAAAGTGTCTTTAGGACAAGAGAGAGTGGCTTTTTTTTTTAAGAAGCCAAAAACCAAAAGAAGGCTGGAAGAAAGCTGCTACTGTATTCTCCCCATCTTATTTCACAGCAGAAAGGAAAAGGGGGACAATACACATCTTCCTTTCTCTCTTAGCAGACGGTTATGAGGGAAGATTTCTCCCCCCAACCAGATAATCTGGAAGGTGAGCATCCAGGAGATGGGTACCTGTTCTAATGGACTATGATCATGTAATGAGGACTATCAATAAAAATTTGTAGTAATAACAATAACAATAAAATATGATGTGCAATGGCTTTTGTTTGCTAGTCTCTTCTCTTTTCAATAGGATATAGGTTCATTGGCCAGAAGAAACCATCTAAGTCATCAAGTCCTGCTTTTGACCATAGGCACTACCTTGTATAATTCCTTTTGTAGGTATATTGAGCTTTATCTTAAAAGCAATACAGTTTGTTCTCACCCTTACTTCTGTTGAAAAGTTTTTTTTCAGAACCTCATTGCTGTAGTGATTAGGAATCTTCTTGTAATGCCCAGTTTAAATTTATTCATGACCAATTTATACTCACCGCTCTACAGCCAGCATTGTTCTTTATCTTAAATTGTTCGTTTTCCTCCCTCGTATGTACTCCCTTGATATACTTATAAACAAGTCACATGGACACATCAAAGTCTTAATTTTACTAGGCTAAACATGCACAGTTTTTCTTGTCTTTTCTTGTCAGGTAGAGTTCACCATTCCGCCAATCATCCAAGTAAGTCCACATTTGCTCCTGTTCCAGTTTCAATTTATCTTTCGTGAATAAAGAAGAACAAAATTGTACTTAATGTTCCAGTTGTGGTCTCACCAGAGGCTCAAACAATGACATTAATTCTTTTCTAGCTATATCAGAAAAACTTCTCCTAATACATGCTAGGATAACATTCACCTTTTTACAGCAGCATCACACTGATGGTTCATAGTCATCCTATGATCAACAAGCTCACAGTTCTTCTCCACCTCTGCTGTTTCCAGTTGATGAGCTTGTAGATTATAGTAGAAGATACTTAGTGTATTACTGAATTGTGTCCCATTTCTTTATTTTTTTCTCTGCTCTTGAACAAAGGAATGTTCAATGAAACTGAAAAGGAACAAATTCAAAGCTGCTCAGAGAAAGTACTTTTCTGACATGACATGTATTAGATAGCGAATATTGTTGTCCCAGGACACCTAAGGGTGCCTACAGACATTCGGGGCCCCACTCCAACTCATGGCACTATGTGAAGCGCGTTGAGTTAGAGCCCCCTCCTCCCTTCCCTGCAACCCAACAGACATTTGCCTTGGGGTGCAAGGGTGAGAGAATCAAGCCTACCCATACTGGCCCTGGCCTATATATGGGGAGGCTGCTGAACTGCCCCTCTTCCCAGCCCTGCCCCTCCCCAAGCTCTGAGGCTTTCAGTGGGGGAGCGAGGAGGAAGGGAGCAGCATGGAGCTGCTAGCTGGGCTTTGCTGGTCCTGAGCTGGAAGGAAGTGGAATGGAGCCCCCTTGCTTTGCAGGCTTCCCCAACAGCTACCCCAGCTGGGGTATTGCAAAGAGCTGGACCAGGCCCATGAGGCGGCACGGGGGGGCTCTGTTTCACCTCCTCCTCCCCAGATAGTGTCATTGTCAGTCATCGGGGGGGCACTGCTCCCGTTGGGGGAGCACGTGCACCCTCATGCACCCCCTACCAGTCGCCTATGAGGCTGGGCAAAGCAACTCCTGCTGCCAGTCTCAAGAGGCCCAGCTGGAGCTGGGGGGTGGGAGTGAGGTGGAACGGAGTCCCCTCACCTCACAGACCTAGCCTGGGTCCCCCCAATACCCCAGCTGGGGTATCTGGGGGAGGAGGGGCTGCTAGGCGAGGAAGCTCTGTTCCACTCCTTCCCTCCTTTCAGCTCAGGCCAGGCAAAGCTCAGCTAGCAGCTCCATGCTGCTCCCTTCCTCCTCCCTCCCCTACACCAGCCCAGCCCTGCCTCTCCATGAAAAATTAAACCTGCAAGGGAATGCAAATTTCCTAAAGCGCTCTGCTTTACAGCACCTTAATCTAATACCTAATTTGATGAGGGTTAATTTTTCACATAATTGGCCCTTTTAAAAGCACTCTGCAGCAGTGCATGTGTGGTATGTCACAGCTGTCGTGCACTTTCAGGAGCCCAACTTCATGAAAAATATAACTTGTGTAAGCACCCTAAGAGACCAAGTGATTACCAAGAACCGTTTGTGTTTAGCACCATCCTTTTTATCTTTTTTCCATATTTCCCAACCTACCAGGATCCCTCCAGACTTCCAGATCACAAGAGCCTTCCCCTTTTCTACCCATCTTATCTGTCTATTCAATATAAAGATACTCTGAGTCATTTCCTCTGCCCCAGGCCAGTACTGGCAAAATCAGCTACCTGCCCTGTTGCAGAATAAAAAACAGGAGATTGATATTAAAAGCAATAAAAGACACAAGGAGCTGACTGGAGAAGCAGAATGGATATATGGCAGAACTGGTCCTGTTCATTCACTCCACTCCCATAGTCACAATCCACCTCTAAACTCATTGACTTTCACACACACCCAAGACACCAGCTAATTATGACCTGCAAGATGCTTCAGGTCTGTCTACTATCATACAGGTTTTATAACAGGGGAACACAGACCAACCCCCTGTAAGAGATTTCCAAATGGCAATACCTCATAGTCCCCTTTCCAAGAGCAGCAGTGGAAGCCTTTGCACTTGAGGTGAATGAGTAAGCCCTCCATTACCAGTATGAGGATCCATGTCACCTACAGGGTTTGGCTGGAAAAACTAACCACATCCAAACTGTTTAGCAAAGGAAAATTAGAGTTTTCACTCAGTAAGTGCATTTCTTTTGAGATAAAAAAATGCCTGCTTTGTACGGAAAATATAGGTTTTTCTTCAAAAAAACTCAATAACCACTAGAGCAATTTTTATTTGAATGTGCTGCTCTCCCTGTTGTTGGTAATGGGCCAGGCTGACTTACATGTCTTATGATGCAATGCACCTTTGCTAAGATGGGTATCCTGATCCATAATGAAAGGTGTAGTCTGAGAAAGACACCTAGCCCATGGAGAAGAATGGGAGTAGAATGTACCTGAACTGTTAGTCTCAGGAGGCCCCATGCCAGCATCTCCAAATTGAAATAGTTTGACATTCACATTTTAGCTGACAAACAGAATTGTTTCAGTGGAAGTTTTAAATTACAGATACTTATTTTTGTCCTTGCCAACATTTACTTCAGAATAAACCCCTAGGTTCCTGCCTGTCCTAATAATACGTCTTTGAGAGTTGTGATTCTGGTGTATTATAAGGAACTGTGTGGAACCATATGAGGAACTATATAAGGAAATAGGACTTACACACCAAGTCCTTTTCATGGACTTGGCTCAAGTCCATGAAAAGATAACCTGTTACCTCTTGTTTTGCATTTCCTTGTAATTCTACCTGATGTTTACAGCTCCCTGTGCTCTTTCCCAGACCCACCTTCCCCCACTGTTGTAGAGCTGGGCAGAAAAAGGTCAAACAATAATTAATAGAAATAGACACCAGTATTCAAATAAAATGACTGTGCACACGGAGGGAAAAGAGTATGTTGGAAAGAATATAGAAGCAGATGCTTACTGCTTCTAACAAGGTCACTTTAATACCATAGCCCTGCCCTTTTTCTTTCCCCTCTAGCATTTGTCATGCTCACTTGTTGAGGCTTGTCTTAAATCAGGCCTGCAACAGTCCTTCTGGCCTTGGCTTAACTAGGCAACAGTTGTGGTTGACCTCATGTTAGCTCTTTTGACTTTGTTCCTCATATAGACAGTTAAACACCTGTTAAAGTGTAAGATTGACCTCAGCTGGGAAACAGGGGATCCTAGGGATCCCAGCATGACTGGTTAATACATTTTAACGGCTGTTTCCACTAGGACATCAGTCGCAACTGATGTTGTTTTAGGCAATGCGATGTCAGCCAAGACCCCTTTTCCTAACCGGGAAGGAAGAACTGATTTAATTAATTTTCAGGGCCCTTATGATAATCTAATTTGACCTATAATTTCACTGAGTGAGTCCTGCCTTGAACACCTTTCATGTAAACTAAGAGTGCCTTTGTGTAAGCCATACACCTTACTCCACTAACTAACCCTGCCCTAAGAATTAACATAGGGAATTAATGTGGAATAGCTAGCAGGTAGGGTAGAAAATGACTATGAATTGAATACCTTTAGACTGGAAAACAGAAAAAGGATTCTAGCCACCAGAACAGTGGGCTCTAGAAGAGCCTTCCAGTAGGCGTTTTGTCTCCACTATTCCAAACTTGTTTTAAGATGAAGCTCTATCTGTTTACGGAAGGGGTTACATGATGTGATTGCCTGTGACTGAACTAAATGACCAGTCCTTTGTTTTTTCCTGCCAGGGTCGCTTCCCCTGAGCTACTGTGGGTCTCTGTTCCTCAAAAGCTAAAACAGAGGTAATAGTATTTCTCCATCTTACAGTAAAATTGTAAAGAAATATACAAAGAACAAAAGATTAGAAATAATTCAACTTCTACCATGAGGGTAACCATATTGGGGTTGGGGGGGGAATAGCAGGGGAAGAATATCAACTCATCTGCTTTTCAGAGGACTCTAGTATGCCGGTGCTGTTACTAGGACAAGAACTGGGTTTCTAAAGATGGAAATTAAGATGCCAAGGTTAGTCAAATCAGATCTCATATTTCAAATAAAGGTGTGCCACCTCCAGGGAGAAGGAAGCCATTGTCATTCTCTTTCCACATCCTTTACATACAGTGTCTGTTGTGGTAGGTCTTGTTTCAGTCTGAAACATCAGGGATTTGGCCAGAGGCAAGATTCCCAACTGGATGCACAAAATCTTCTGTCCTCAAGAATGGGTGAACCACTTCTTGTTGATATAGGGCAAAATCTAGTGCTAAGTCAACAAGCTAAGGAAAGGGAAATAGAAGGACTTGCACATTGTACCAGTCTAAAAGGTAACATTTGCCCTGAAGGAAACATGGATTTAGCTGGTACCACCCTTCCTTTTCCTTCTATCCATGTTTTAAGATGCATTTCCTCCTGAACAGCTCAGAATCTCTTTTGCTTCACCTGTCAGTGAAGCTGTGATATCAGAACTGACTGCAGTTTTAGACAAAGTCAGGGGATTCTTCACTGACTGGTTTATGCATGATCTCTTGAGCAGTGAGCTACTCCACAATCTAGGAGTAACTGAACTTTGTAATTACATCAGCATGACCAGCTGCTCTTTAGTTACTGTGAGGATGTCC